ACAGCGAATTGGGTGCCAAAGGGGAGAACGAAGTGCGAAAACAGAGCAAAAATTGTACCAAAACAGTGCAAATCTTTTGTGAACACAGCGTGAATCATTTGCGAAAACATTGAGAAAAAAACAGTGTACGAAAACAGTGTGAGCATTTTGCGAAAGCGGTGTGAAAGGTTCCGAAAATCATGAAGAAACTTGCGAAAACGAGAAGCATAGTGCAGTGAAAATGTTCAACACTTGCCATACGCGCACGACTTTTATGCAGTGAAGAGTCCATTACCCAGGCTGCGCTGCACTTGCGGCCAGTCGGGGCCAACTCACCACCGTGGAGTGTGCTGTTGTAGTCTAGTAGCGATTTCCTCGGCCAAGCCGTTCGGTCCATGCAGCGCAATCGCAGGGACGTGCTCACCACGACGCGCCGCGCCCGCGTGGCACAGTTGTTTTCTTGGATTACCATTAATAAACACTCGTCAATGTCGGAGAATAATTGTTTAAAACGTTGTCTGGATGTTGAGTGATTAAACGGGAGTCCCCGAGTCCTGAAGTCATGAAGCTCATGAAATGTGTGTATTACAACAAACTTAACTTGCTCTGCTGTGGCGACATGGGTTATTTGCCCATTTTTTATTTATTCTCGTGGTATAGTTTGGCACACAAACAAATCACCAATGAAATACTACATGTAGTATTTTGTTACCCAAAGGTTTCTTTCAATCGACAAATAAAATCAACTGCTTAAATCGTACATGTATCTTCATGTAGCAAATCTTGTCGTTTCGCCAATTGTGTTTGGTGTGACATATCGGGTCTGTTTTCACTTGGGTTTCTGATGACATGTTACTTTCTGTGGTCACATGGTTCTTGGAAAAAGTCAGTGATTGGACTATCCATGAATGGGCATGCAGTAGCAGTCAGGATGTCGCGGTAGGTGTAGATGCAGTTTGTGCTTCGAGATGCGGTGTGGCATGCACGAGGTCCCGTGGCGGTTTTTGAAGAGATTTGGTAATATTTTTCGATCGGCGTCACGAAAAAGTTGAGATAACCGGATACAAGGCATTTATTCCGAAATCATGGTACATACATCTGCCAATACATGTAAACGTAATTCACATACATGACAACATGTGGATACATGTACATGTATCTGTACATGTGCACACACACGGAGCACATGTTGAGCATCCATCCAAGTGGGTTAATTTAAATGCTTATAAGAGAGCACTATAACGGGAATCTACTGTAATTCAGCTGTTCGGTGTTCAGTGCTTGTCTCCAACCTCCACCATAGCCAGCTTTGATTTCGCCTGTCGCATTGTATTTTGCTCAAAAGTGAGAGATATGCTGCGTTAGAATTTTAATGCTGTTTTCCTCAAGTAATCTGAATATTCCTGAGATTTGAAGAACTTTCTCTCAGACTGATTTTCCTCCACTTTCCATATTCAGAGATGTGCATGTTTGAAACCACAGAGAACAAAAACTTCCTGATGTCTACATGTACTGTACATGCACAAATACTAAATGAAGAAAGCCTGCAAAATTATTTCCCCACTACCAGAGAAAATCTGTGACAATCTTTTCCCACTTGTGAGAAAAAGCATGAAAATCTTTTCTCACTTGTGGGAAAATCTGTGAAAATTTTGTCCCACTTGTGGGTAAATGTGCGAAAATCTTTTCCCACTTGTGGGTGGGAAAATCTGTTAAAATTTTTTTCCCATTCGTGGGAAAAACGTGAAAATCATTTCCCACTTGGGGGAAAATCTGTGAAAATATTTTCCCACTTGTGTGAAAAGCTGTGAAAATATTTTCCCGCTTTTGGCACACTTTTTCACAATTTGTGAAATGAGGAGGAATTCCCTGGGAAGAGAAAAAATCTGAAAAAATCTTCCCATTTTGGTGTTAACTTTCAATCGCAATGTACTGTACATAATTACATGCATGTGAATAATGGTGAAATCTTCTGACTGCTGGACATGGGAGTGATTTACAAATCCTATCCTGAACTCATCCTCCATTGATGGCAAGTGACCACAAAATTCTGGACAGGATGACAGGCCATTATGTAACTAATTTCTGCCAATTATCCTGCATTGGAAGTTGGCTTCAAAACCAAATAAGGGTATTCAACAGATTTTTAAGGACAACTGGGGAACACTTTTTGCCAACTTTTATTCTCTGACATTTGATTACCATCAAGATAACTTAGACCAAAATAGCAAACACATGGGCTACTAGCCACTGGAGCCTTAGAGGCAAAACCCTCATGTCTGGTCCCTTTTCATGTTTCAATTGAATATGAGGAAAATTGGATTTTTGTTTAATCTTCAACTTAACACAGGCAGATCTGTACATTTTTGTACCTTATTCGTGGCAAGTGCTTATTAGCTTTTACCTTGCAAAACTAGGGAATAACTTTCTCCAAGTGAAGCGCCAACTTCATATACACTATTTGAAGACTCAGGCACATTGAAATGAGAAGCAGTTACAGTTTTAGAGGTGGGTGGAAAATCCTAGAGAAACATTCTGGGTAAAACCCGAGGAATCAGGAAGGGACTGAAAACCCAATCCACATGAGGACCAAGCTGGGAATCGAACCTGGACCGCAGAGGTGGAAGGCGAGGAAAGAACCGTTACGCCAACCTGACTCCCCTTTCTTATAAATCTTCGAATAAATCTTAGTTGAGCTTGGCTATCACTTAGCTAAAAGGCTGCAACAGAAATTGTCCATCAGCTAAGGTGGACTACATGTACATATATTTCTAAAGTTCAGAAAACCGTGGCGGACTGTCGTCACGATCATACATATCATTTGCAACGCAAACAATAATGCATAATTCAGGTTTCCCACAATGCCATACATGTATGACCTGTGTTTGGAAATAGTGTTGTCACCATAAATCATTATTAGTGTCCCTTCCTCAAGTTATGATTGGCCTACTGGTACTGCCTCTGTTATGTTCCAACTATTTAGCATACAATCAAGTCGGGGACCAACCCACAATCTCATGACAACACCAGACTACATGTATGCATACGCTGCTCGTTTGTGTGACGATGACGTAATTTTTGAACTATTTTTAGATCACGCTTCGCAGATGACATCGATCTCTTTATCGGCCAAAAACCTCAACACAAATTGCTCTGATTGATTAACTTTACAGGAAACATGCCACCCAAGATCTAAATGAAACCTTCCTTTCACTTGGTATCTATAAAAGCCGATCAACAAGATTTTTAGGTCGAATCTTGCACTGGATGTGTTGAATTTGGTGTGCAGGTGAATCCAATTCTGTCGATGAAAACGTTTATGTGAAAAAAAAAAGCGTTGCTGAAGTTTACTTTATGCATGAAAATGTTGCCATTAAAGATCACCATCGATTCACCGTGGAAAATTTTATGTTTACTGTGGCAATTTTCCAAAATACCGATCAGAAACAATTTTGCCTTAGACTCAAGTGGTAACAGCAATGGCGGCCATGTTGGCTGCCGGCATTTCAAATCTCGTTATTTCCCAAAATCGAGCGGGAAAATTACATCATTATCATGTGACCTGATAAAAATGATGCCACTGCCGCTTGAACAAGCGACATAAGCAGAAACTAGGGACGTCGCTAGATTGTGGTTTGGTCCTCGACCTGACAATGTCCAGATGTTACCTAAAAAAGGCAAACTGTAGGGTCCAAGTTACTTGGACTAGCCTATACGATAGTATTTGCATTTCTTCTACTCTCAAACAGAATGAAACTGAAAAAATGAAGGCCTAGGCCTAAAAACCAAGAAAAGTTAAAAGCAGAAATTATCAAAAAGTAATAATTAAAACGTCTACGAGCCCACTGACATTGTTCCGTGTCATAAGGAACACATGCGTCTTGTATCCGAGACCTTGATGTCCGAGACCGATACCAGGACATCCGAGACCGAGACCAACCATAAACCAATGTTTAGTTTTTACCAAAGGGTAAATAGGGACAAACATATCACAGTACAATTAAGTACAAAAGAAATAAAATGAAAACATTAAGCATAAACACACACACACAAATAGGTCAAATATTTGTAAAAGAATGTCTCAGTTCTTTTATCAGCGACCCTGCTCTACTTTTACCCTGGTCATTTTCAACCCGAGTGTCCCGAATGATATGATGTAAATATCAAAACAAAGATCCTTAGTCTGCTTTTGTAAGCAAAATACTGAAAAACAAATATCCAAAAAAGACGTACCGTAACGAAACTACTAAAACAACATGCATCACATACATGACGGAATGAAAGCTGACACACAGACTGGTTCCCGTCCCGGCCCTACATTCAGCAGGAAACTACATAGGGAACACGAACCAGTCTAGTGTGTGAATTCCGCTACTCACAACCTCATTCCATCTCCATGGTGTCAAGCAGCATGGCTACTCTGGATTGGAAATAAAGTAGCAACTTGGGACAAGGTTGCATCACGCTGCATTGACTAGTCTTCATTCCAGCATTGATATCAGTGTTTATTGCAAAAAAACTGAACATTACTGTGTTGTATTTATATCAGTGGTTGAAGATTTGACTCAAGCGGAAGTAATTTGCCTTTTGCAACCACGTCCATGCGTGGTAGATAGGTGCACATTTTGTTATGGTCTCGACTGGTCTCAAGGGGAGACCCGAGACTATGGCATTCGAGACCAAGACTGGCACTTTCGAGACTGATACCGGCCCTCCCAAGACCGAGGCTTTGACAGGGCGAGACTGAGACAGCAAAAAAGGTCTCAAGCATTTTGAGACGGTCTCGAGACCGAGACCAGGTCTCGAGACCTACAACACCAGCACAGAGGCAAACAGAAGTCATAAATCATGTAAACACTGATAAATAATGACCACGATGACTTGATCATCGACCGGCTTGATGCATGTCAAGCATTCATTGATTCAAAATGTCAAAGGTATGAATGAAAGTCAGGCCTAAAGTCAAACCATACAAAAATTACAAGCAGGGTAACTAAAGATTTAAGTGACCCAGGCCTCACCCTCCTGCGTTTCCATCTCCTCTGGCTCACTTTGCGGTCGCTCTTGTTCATCGCAGTGATTCATGTTGTTGATCGGACTTTTGTTGTTCGACCTCTTTAAAAATTTACGCTCAGACTTGTCCGCGACCGACCCCCGTTCACTGCCGGGCGATGAGGGAGTTTTCCGGGACGCTGTCGGCACCTTGACGTGCTTACTCGCGATGCGCCCAATCTCGGCGGCCTTAACCCCTCCGTAAAGGGGTGCTCATCAAGAAACCAACTTCAGAATTTCTCTATGTGCGAAAACAAACAGTAACTGGTCGAGAAACTGTGAAATACACGCAGAGTTTCATGCCTTCTCATTGCTGCTATCAAAACCCATTGAAGAAACAAGTAACATGGCCTCTAAAAAATATGTTGCATTGTGGGTACATACAGTCGATGTCCTCAGCGAAAAAAGAAGTAAATATTCCCTCTCTCTGATGCCACATTTGAAAATTTAATTTTCCTTTTCTATGTCCTTAAAATTTTTTGCTTGTTCTCCAGAAAGATGGGCAATAATAATAAGTAGAGTTTGTAATGATTAACATTTTTAATTAATTAACATGAAATATATGGGGAAATGACGTACGGCGCTTGCGCAGAACTCACTCGCCCACAATTCATTGCGTGATCACTGCGACATTCGACGTTATTCGCAGGGCGTATTGACGAATTGTTCCCCAAATTATCGACATGTTTTAGGGCCAAGAATCTCATCTTAATAGTATATTTAGGGCAAACTACCTCTCAGCTCCTACCATGAGTGAACAGAAGGAGCGAGGAGACGACTCTGGCGGGGAACTTTGGGCGTCAAGTTGGGAGCAGCAGTGTCTGGAAGAGTTCGATAGCGAACCCAACTTAGACGAGAGGCTGCCCCAAGAACGACAGGTCGCTGCCGACCAGCTGTGGCACAGCTTTCAAGCCTGCGCCAGCGCCGTCACGCATCTTTATAAACTCGGTCAGATTTACAAGGGAACAAAGAGGGATATCGTGATCGTGATGTAGTTTAGAATTGTTATTAAATCATTTACAGTCTGCAAACATGGCAAATGGTTTGTGATGTACATGTGTAGGCTACAGTCATTCATTATTCCTGTTCATGTCAAAAAAGTAAACAAATATAAAAACGTAATTTAATAAAGTGGTTTTCTATGCTTCTGATGTATTTTCATGTATTTTTTGGCCTATTAGGCTAGTAATTATCTTTTCTTGATAGAAATGAAAGGGTTTTACTGTTGGAAAATTATTTACATGTATTTGTGATATTTGGCGGAAACAGTTGATATTTTGGGGAGATAAATGGCAAAACTCAAGTAACTAAGAAATGGAAAAAAATAGGCTTCCACTAAAAATGGAAGAAGAGAGGAAGTACTAAAGTGAAGCCTAGTTATTTTAAGTTATGTGATTAGTTATATCCTATTTTACAAACATATAATTGTCCCCTCTTTTACTGATTGCTTTACCTTTTTGTGCATTTTACTGTATCATTTTGTCAGTGTGTCTGCACCATTACAAAAGGAACTTCTTGGACTTTGGCATGATAAAGTTGCATATAAGAGGTTTTTAATTTTGTTATCCTGTTCATAAAAGACGTAATATTTTTTGCTTCTCCTTGCAGAACGTCTGTGTAATCCATCCAATGCCCTACCTCTTTGGCTTGCATTTCAGAACGCTGCTAGTTCAGTCACCAGATTGTATAAAGGTACGGTATGTCCCCACTATAAACTCTGTGTGGCATGAGCACATTGCAGTTTGATCCTACTGTTGTGTGGGGACACACATACTGTGAACTGGTTTGCCCACATACTGTGGAGTGTGCTCAACCAGTTCTCACTGGAATGTGCACAATCTCATGTGGCATCTTTGCCAAGAAGGCTGTACACATCAGAGCATAGACCCTATGAAGTAAAGATTATGAAGGGCCAGTCACTCTCCTTTTATTTCTGATGAGGGAGTCCTTATTCACAGGGTCCAATCAGTGGCCCGTTGCAAAACACAAGACTAACCCTAAGAAGGGCTTGTTGCTCTTCTCCAAGATGTCTTGAGTTTTTTAGGGGGAGACTTCACGTGAATGACTAGAATAGAGCCCAACTAGTATCGGGTGTATTACTCTACATTAGACCTGTTTTTCTCTGTGAAGTAACAGTAACATGCCATTGGTTTACTGTGTAGTGGTGGACTTGAGGATGTAGGGAAGTTCCAGAATGTCAGTGGTGGTGCTTTTCATCTTCGGTTTAAAAGCCGTTATGAAGTCTGTTCTGGGTTGGCCCCATCCACTGTATCCCTCACCTTTAATTGGTGGATTTGGACAGACTTTGGCTGTAATCCTGAGCACACGGGAAGAAAAGGTTTTGTATCTAGCTTATCATTTACATGGTCATGTAGCAACGCATCAAAAGTAAATGGCTCCAAAATTGTGCATTCAGCTAAAACCTCAGCTTGATTTAAAATTTTGCCAGCTGGAACCTAGAAAATACAGAAAGCATTCGGGTAGCAAATACTATTCAGGACCTTAGTTGATGAGTAGCATTTCAGATAAGTTGCTAGTTACACAAATGAGTGACAATTTTCAATCAGGGAAGACTGTTGACGGTGCATTTTATTACAGACAGCCTAGAAGCACACCGGAGGACCAGTGAGTTTGGCACGCAGATCGGGCACCAGCGCCGCACCAGGGACGTTGTGGGCTGGGTCAAGAAGCGCCGGCGCTACATCAAGCGGGAGGACCTCCTGGCATTCCTGTGCGGCAAGGCACCCCCGCCCCGGATTCGGCCCAGCCCCGGGGGCCGGGGTGTGTCGGAGCGTTCCTCGCCGCGGACCCATGCCCAGTCGCACGACGTCGGGCATGCAGTGGAAACGACGGATGATCTGCAGCCCTTCAGAGAAGCATTAGCTTTACAAGGTGAAACAAATGCTCACAGAATACTACGTTTAGTAATATGCTTGAGGTGGATACTGATTATTTCTATTTTGGGCGTCAATTTCCCATAATATTGGGACAAAAATACATTTATTAACCTATTTATAAACAATGCTTAAAGTTATTAAGTGAAAATAAAAGATATCTTTTTAAATGTCGGACAATTAAATCCATCGATTTGACACCACTTGATTGGATTTGGGTGAAAGAATGGTCATATTTACTTTGTCAGGTGTTTCCTTTTTTGTACTTCTGTTGGGCAAGCTTATTCATCCACTTGTTTACATTTGTGCTAGGTTTAAATGGAGCTATGGCAAATGTGGGTGTCTCCCAATCTCCCCCGCACCACTCCCATTCGCGCCGTCGCCATGGAAACGTACTAGATCTCTTCCCTGATGAACTCTTTGCCCATCCCGACTCGCGGAAGAGAAACCCTTCCCCGAGTGACGTGCACATGGACTCGCCCTCTCATAAACGCAACCGACTACTATGAAGAAAACAGGAGTGTTGCTTTCAGTAGGTGTACAAACTTAGAAGAAAAAAAATTGAAAAAAACAGAAAATGAATCTCAAAAGAAAGTAAAAACGTTAATATATTAAGGTGTTATTGGCTGATCTTCAAAAGCCACTGGGAAAAGCATCATATTTTGCACAGCGTTCGGAGTAGGAGCATGTCAGGTGGGCAGAGATCAGCATGTGCATTGTTTTGCCAACGAGAAAAGACCCACGACGTCAAGGTGCCAATCGTCATCCGGTTTACATGTTTTATTTTTGGCATTCTGGAAAGTTGTGCCATGTGTGGGGGTGTTACAGAGCATTATTCAGTGGGCTAGAAGTTCTTCCAATCTACCCATATGACTACTGCACTGGTTGGTATTTGCCATGCACACTGGTAATGTAGGCCAAGGTCCGTAGAAGATAAGTACCCTGTATTGTGAAAAAGAGATTTGATCGGTAATTACTGAAAGTGGGTAGGATTTCATCTCCTTACAAAAGATGTGATAACATTAAACTTGGTATACTTTAATCAAATACAAATAGTGTTTATTCTCAAGTCTGACCAAAATATTTTCCATGGCAGCAAAAGTTTCAGTAAGGTTTGTGTGAACTGACCCTGACACCTTAAGCATTTCTGATGTAGTTACTTCAATTAAATAGCTAAAATCTGGCAAACTGTAACCACGGAACACATTCTTTGTACTTGGAACAGAATTCATGCTTGAAGCCCCACATTAACTAATGGTGCAGGGGGGCCCATCAGACCTGAGTCCAACCAGGTCTAGCAAGAGCAGTTTGCGGAGTCGTATTAGTGTACCAATTTACAGTCAGGTAAACAAGGTGTGGGCATGCTAAAGCTTGTGTTGGCAGACCTAATAAAGACATTAGTACTGAACCAGTGATAAACTTTAGATGTTAGTCTGATTAGTTGCAGTTTTCTTGGTAAAGTGAAGAATAAGGGGGTTGGAAATTCAAGTCCAAAATTTGTCAAGCACAAACTTCTAACTACCCGGAAAGCACCAAGTTACATGTGCACCCAAAATTGTACATTAATAACAATGAATGACACGTCCTCATATTGCATATTGTCATATAGCAAAATTAAACAGGAAGTACGTGTCTGTGGGATATAATTTTGTCACTCGCTCCAAGTATTGTCATTGTGCTAATACAAAGCATTACCACCTGCATCATTGGATGTCGGTCACTGATATGCATTGCACCAAAGAAATACACTGGCAAGTGGAAAGAAAAAAACATGGAGACTTTCATAGATGTGCACTGGGCATTGTTAATGCGTTCATGGCAGGCTTCAGCTAAAACTGAGCTGTGCAGTTGTACACCTTCATGATGGGCAACTGTTGTGCACGTAAATGTACATCGTAGATTGAGACAGTGATCTCATAATGCCATGCTTCAGCAGCCGTAGTGTTCACAGCGCTGTGGTTACAGGCATACCATTCCACAATTGTGGTGTAGTTCAAGATGCACGTATTATTGAGTCTAGATAAGACCTACACCTAGAGACATACCAAGGCAACAGAGGCTAATAGCCCTGGGGTCTGATGCCCAGGTTATGACATCACTTGGTGCCCTTTGGCATTCAGATGTTTCCATTGGATGTGCCGTTTTTATCAGGAAGATGGCCCTACCTGTGAGAACCAAATATTCGGGCTTGCCGTTTGTAAGGGTTTCAGATGAGGGGGACAGGTCAATGCGGGTGTGATACTTTTGTAAACAATGTTCTAACATGCTTTCATGTTGTTTAAAGTGTGTGAGCCGTCATGTACAAACTATGTGTACATCAACTAATGCAGTTATTGTACGTTGCATATAATGTATTTGTAATAACTCGAAGACTGTGTGTATGCACTTGTAAATACCGTAAACCGTTTGCTCATGAATGCTCATTAATTGAGCTCGAGTTTGCCACACATTTTACATGTTTTTGTCTTGCAAGAGAAGTTTACTGCTTGTCCTTTACAGTTTCCTTTTCTCTATCCTCCATATTTTCCCCCAAAAGTCACAAACTGTACTCAATCTTATCTTTTTTGCATTAAGTTCAAAGCAGTTGGCATAGTAATAGCATTGCAACCAAATGGTTAAGAAATCTGCGCCCTGTATAGATGCTCAGTCACAAAACCCACACTACTAGCACCGTCTGATTTCAGACATATAATGTGCCATTTGAAGGTCTGTCTTTTGTAGAGCATGGAGGTACCCGTCAGCGTTCTATCCGAGACCTTTATATCCGAGACTGAGACCAAAGCATACAAGACTAAGACTGCCAAAAAAAGGTCTAGAGACGGTCTCGAGACTGAGACCAGGTCTCCAAGGAGATGCCATACATGTACCAGTGTACCAGTCCAGTAAACGTTGTGGCACCACATTCTTGCTTGTGTTTGTAAACCTGACGCACGCGCGTTTTGGCAAGTCACAGCACCGTATTGGCTGAAAAGAGACATTCAACACACGGTGGTTCCACCGCTGTAATTGGCTTACACCATTCTTTTATTGCTCTGCAGCAGTACGTGTGAACAAACGTTGTACATGCATGGAACAAAATCATACATGTAACACACTAAAGTGGACCGAGGAGAAAACCTATTCTATGTTGGTTTATTTAAGCATAGATTTGTGGGGATTTTCTAAATGATTTAAGTGTAAGATATTTGTTTAAGAGGTGAAAGTTGTTTTTCACAGGATTTTCCTGATTTCAGGATTTTGCAAAAGCATTTTGTTAAAATGGGGGAAATTCCGAGTTTTCAGTCAAGGTTTTTTTACATATAAAAGTTGATACAGAGTTGATACTCAAGAAATAGGTGTTTTAAGGGCTGCTCTTAGGCCAACACAAATGTACGCCTCAGACCCGACACCGCTGTTGGGCCCTCTAAACCTCGGGTCATTTTTTCCTGGGTATTTCATCTTCCTCTAATCTCAAACCTGTTATTTAGAGAATCAAAATACAAATATCTGTTCACTCTGGTAACTGTCTGTTATTTGGCACATACTTATAGCTTGGTTACAAATTTGCCATGTGAAACCAGTACATTATTTGAGAGACGAGCAGTGCACACTTCCATGTCAGGCATTGCGCATGCAGGCACAACGGAAGTGTGTGGTGGGGAATCTCGGACACAAACCGAATGTTTCCTGCTAGGCTCTCTGTGTTTCACCCATTGAGGGGGCTCTGGTGCTCAGGCAACAGAGCCATTTACAGTGGACTGTCGTTATAAAGAACACCATGATAACAACATACTGTTATAAAGAACAAATTTTGAGGATCCCACTTTCTTGAATTCTTATGTTTCTCTTTGCTTTTTCACTCCTCTTATAACAAAGTCCTTTGTGTAACAAAGTAATTTGTCTGCAACTTTGTTATAACGAGAGTCAACTGTATAGAGAGAGTGGCGACATGAGTGTCTGAATTGTTGGAACCAAAATGGTGGATGATGAGTCGGTGCACCTGGACAATTAGCACGCAATAGCTGCATGCAGTACTGCACACAAAAATGAACAGTAATGTTGGTTCCAGAGTCTTTTAAGTTGGCGCTATTGTCGCTATATACAGCTCTGCAGGGCAGTGCGTTGTAGTTGAATCCATCCAAGTCTAGTCACAAGTCCTCTTGCGAGGCCAGTCATAAGTAACAGGGTGGACCGTGACCAAAGAATGCTCTTGTCACAGTCTGTATATTGTACATTGAACATTTCCATACCTATCAACAGTAGGTTATGACTTGGCTTAAGATGAGACGACTTGTGACGGACTCACAGAGACTGGTAATGGACTTGATTACCACCATGACACTGAGCCCATAAAGAAGGCACATTAGAGTTAGTATTCCGGGGGGGGGGTTGCTTCAGCCACATGTATCAATGTTATATTTACTAAGTTACACATAATGCACATACTGTTTCACGGATGATAAAAAAAAGGAAAGAATTTGTTAGGAATGCAGCTGTGTTTGTTTGCAGTTTGGTCTTTTCCGTGTCAGGCACCAGACCTTATATTAGTTTGTATCACAGCCAGGTAGAAGTTTATCGTACATGGAACATTTCCATACCTATCAATAGCAGCTTGTACGATGCATACATGTACTTAGCAACAGACTGACATATTTTTCATGGACCAAATGCCAGTAAATGCATACTCCCAGCAACAGGAAAATTTATGGGGGTAATTTTATGGGCATTGTTCATTTGTGGTCTGTTGTAATTAACTCCTGTGCATGTATTACTGTACTAAAAATAACCAGCTGCCTCATACGAGACTACAGACACATGGCTGTACATCCAGACTTGTGTCACCCATGTGTGCTACACTCATCCATCATGTTTTAAGTTCATGATTCGTATGGATTCGGGAATTTTTGGAGGGAGCTTGGATGAGTAGTTCGAAAGAGGGACACAAACTAAGATCTGCAGAAATGTATGATGCCATTTTGGAAAGAGAAACATTTGATTTGTTTGCCTGATAAAAAGATAGCCGAGCCATTTTGATGAGACATGGAGCAAATTGGCCCATCGGAGTACAGTTGTAACAAAAACTGTCTCACACCCCACACCTTACCTTCTCTGTATCATGATGACCTTGTGAACAGTGGCAGCTTGAATATTTTTCTTTCATTTGAATCCCTGCTCTGTGAGAGTAATAAGAGGAAATACAACAAGTTGTGTTAAAACAGAATGTGGGCCTTATCCTGTTTCCTGAATGTTGAGCTAAAGACGAACACACTGTGCACGAACAAACCCGGCATGTGAAAAAGACACAAGGGTGCATAACGTATTTCTGTTTGAATTCAGAGTGTGACAGCCTGCATAATTATCCCTTGGTTGCACATTGACCTTCGTCTGATAGTCATCTATGCTGTGGTTGGTCCATTACAAAGCAATGAACTCCAATCAGGTGATCAATGCCTATAAATGCCATTTCATTCTCTGTCAAGACAGCTCCCTGCTAATTAATTAACGTTTGGTCTCTGTGCCAGCAAAAGTTTTGTATTACATCACCATGCTGTTTTTCTTATGATTAAGTAATCTTCGTAACTCTTCTGATATGTGCACATGCTTTGTCACTTGGTTGAATTGATTGTAAAGGTGATGTTTGAATATGTCAGAGGAGATTACATGAATAAAAATTTAATCCTGAAAAAATTCTGCTTTTGTAATTTCTATAGGTAGACAAGAGAAAAAAATGGTGGCAAATAAAGAAGACCATATTGGATAAAGTTAAGTCGACTAAAGTCAACTGGTATAAATGTACAGATTAAGAATTTGTAAAGGAATTTGAGACCCAGTGAAGAACTGTTGTTAAAGGAATAAAAACAACAAGTTTGGTTTCGAACCTTTCTGAAACCGGTTTCATGGCTTCATAACTACACTGGCTGTTGGAAATAGCTTTGTATTCTATTTCAGAAACAAAATTTGGAGATTTTGAGCTGATACAATATGGCCATCTGACAGGTTTTGCACTCGGTTTTGAACTTACAATGTATGTGGACAGTTTTTCTGAAATGCACAAGGGCAATTACATGTGACTTCACATTCTTCATACCTTTTTTCTTTTTTTGTTTTATTTTTTTTCCTGTAACTTAAAACAATATTTGAATGTCGTCTTTAACAGTAAATGTGAATTTGAAGAGAAATACTGTAATGAACAGCTTTCATTTGTTCAAGTGTTACACTCACCACACGAATTTCACTTATAGGCCCTACAATTGTACTTATACTGGAACTTTTTGTTGTTAAAGTCCTGTTGTTTTTACAAAAAGTTTAATAAATTATCAGTCGGTATAGAAAGAAAAGAAATAGAAAAATCACACACACATGTTTTTTCCCGAACGTGATTGTTAAACTGACGTACACAGTAGAGACGCGCAATTACAGTGGGACTAGGATCAAGTTTATAGATCAGGCAGAGGGCGCACTTTACGTTCTCTAGCAGGAAATGTGTATGCTTTTTGGGCGTGATTGATCGACGCGCCACGAAGATCACTCGATCTTTGCGCGATCAGTCAGTCTCATCGGACGATTCTCAGAAAATTCCTTCATCATGCAGTCGCCTTTTCTTTTCTTTTTTACAGTTGTGAAAATTTTTCCAAAGAGAGAAGTAAAGGTGGAAATGTCACGCATGATCGACTAAGACGTGCAGATCGACAGGTGCCGATCGCTCACAACATACTACATGACATAAACATGTATACTTCTAATCGTAATATTAACTAAATTAACAAATTATGAACAAGCTAACTTTTCCAGCGGTGAGGGAATTTGGCTAAGGTGCAAGTGATTTGGAAATGGAAAACATTATACGTGTATGCACATCTCCACAAAAATATGTCGGATGGGGCATATCTGGTGATATCGGCGAAGCTATACGTTGGCTACGATTTGGAAGTGATAATGTTCATCGTAAAACTAACTGACACATTTGAAAATCAGTTTTTAGTGAAATACGGTTGATCATGGTTCTAAATTTCTGGTCTAGATGGGCTCAATGAAACAAAAAGACTTCACAAATTTCTTTCGTCCCAGGCGCACGGGGGAAAAGGAAATCAACAGTACTCCCTTTTACATTAGCCGCTTGTAAACAAACCGTGCGATTTGGGTGCCGTGCACCATTCTTGCGCTAAATGATCAGAGCCTGAAAGTAGACTCCTTGTAGCCTGCTAATGGAAACCCTTCAACAGGAAAAAATGCACAAAATTTTAGAATTTGCTATTACCTTTCATTGACTTACATCTCCACTTAAAACGGCACCTCCAAAAAGGTATTGATCTCTAAAAAAGGTTGCAGGCCAGTATATTGGCCCAAATTTACCTGTGCGGACCAAACACGATTTGCATGCTGTCAAATTATCTCCCAGTTAGAGCATTTTTTTGTGGCGCGTGGACTTTGATGATTTGTATGAAAAAAGGATGGAATCGACCTACCAGCTGGACTGCCAGCTTGCATTTCTAAAAAATATTGGGCAAAACAGGGTTCTCCACAGTTGTACTATTTCACATTGGAGAGGGCGTATCCATTTTTAAATAGCGATGGGCTTCACACGACTTTTGGTTTTGAGGGCTGATCATCTCTGGTTAAAAATATCTTTAAAAGTCATTGATTAGGTCACTTAAAATGAAGGAAAATGAAGGATGAGAAAATAAGGTTGAAGTTCATGTGTGTCTTTAACACCTGAGAAATTTGTATTTTTCCCCATTGATTTTATGTAGTGAGGTCTATGGCAACTTATTGGTCTGAAACCATTCAGTACCGCCTATCATGCCTCATGACCTTTAAACTGTATGTAATTCACCTTTTGTACATCTTTTGTGCGCCCAGTACACGGGAAAAACTTGCGCACCGGTATCATTAATTTTAGAGTTTTACAATGAAAGTCCTACTCCTGAAAGCCAAGCGAGGACATATGATCCGAGCAAGATGGGCTGTAGTCGAGAAGGAGGCTAAGAAGCAACACTTCAAGCGTACTAAAAGCTGAGATTCGAAACAACAAAGCCTAGAAACTGGTGGTAGGCTACGAGAAGTTTGCCGGCAATGAAATGGGGCACTCTAGCTCTAAAAGAAGACGGCAGTCCCATTCTGAATCTAGTTAAAATGCTTAAGTCCATTGCAATCTCTTGGCCCAGAGTGTACAACCACGAATACTACCGAGCAAGCTCCTCTTGTTCGGTCCCTTTGCCTCACAGGCTCATCATTGATCTTTGTGAAATTTCCTCCACGTGACTGATTTCAGACACGAGTTTCAATAGTTGGATATCACAAAGCTATACAGGTCCACATGGAATTGGCAACAGCGTACTGCGAGAATGTGCTGCCGTGCTGGTCACACCTAAGGCGATCTCTTCCCCTTCTGTTTGAGTCATGGAAACGTCCTCTGTGTAGGTATCGAAGTTGTTCATCAGTCTCGGAAGACTGTGGGTTTGCGCTCTGGGTAGAGGCTCCTGTTCAGAATCGGGAGTGGATGAAAAGGCTGCAGAGCTGGACTCAATGCTGGTCTGTCTGTCTGGCCCTGGACTTTCTCCTCAGCCTCCTCGTCTTGGTCTGATGGGCAAGCGCCTGCTCATACTCAATGGGGCCCAAGCGGGACCAAGAGAAGGCGCAATTTTCCTAGCAACAGAGGCTCCTTTGGTGGGAACTGCACTTCGCTGGTTCACAATCAACAATGAAATGCATGCGTTACGGTCACGTCGCTACGAACAAAATGAAAACTCCCCACCAACATGGCTCTTTCAACCGATAAGGGGGTGGAAAAAAGCTAAACATAGTTCCAATTCACGAGAGCATTCACTTTCTGGTCCAGCTAATTACCGCGCAATTGCCTCTTGAGTAACGTATTAGACCATGGAATCCGTTCCCAACAAGCAGCTTCAACACCTCCTCTTCTCCAGAAGCCTAGCCCCACATACAGTTCGGTTTCAGACCTAACCACTCAGCTCAAAACCTGCTGACCTATCTGAGCTACGAGTTGCTAACGTCATTTCTATTGACATAAAAGCAGCCTTTGATAGGCTGTGGCCTACGTTAGGCTGTGCTATTCTGGAGGTCAAGGGAATTCAAGGAAGGCTGTTGTCACGGCTAGCTGGCTACCTCCCATCCAGTGGTAGGAGGTCCGACTTCACAACAGCAAAGCATCAATTCTTCAATTCTCCGGGGTATCATCCTAGCTGGGACCCACATTATGTTTCTAGTGTACATTGGTGGCACGGACAACTTGAGAGATTCTAGCAGTCTCCATGCAGACGACAGCGCACAATGTATGGAGATTCAATTCAGTCGGCTGTAACTCTTAAGGCTGATCTTGCTCAAAATCCACCACCTAGGCTATGGGCAGTGCCCACTCAAATGGAAGGTCGTCTTTGCCCAAGAGACTCAAGGTGATGTCCATGGTAATTAGATGAAACCATTAGTGCAACCTTCTTGATCCTCCAGCTTAAAATCTTAGTAGTCAAGTTAATGAAACAACTTTCAGTCCCCTTTCAACTCCTTGATAAGAGAGTCAATGCAAGTCAATGTATCCAACCTGTAACTTATGTAACTTAGGCTATTAGGAGCACCATGGAATAGCTCTCTTGCATGGATGTCTGCATGTGAATTGCAGCTTGAGAAGCTGGAGGACATCCAGAACAGCATTGAAGACCAGGAACGCTCCTCCAGGATCTCGAACAGTTGATCCCCTCAGAAGAACCATATCAAGAGTCTTGGTCTTGTCTATAAGATGTACACATTCGACTCACCTGAGCTCGTTCAATATATGCTACTTCCTCAACTCAGACCAATCAATGCAACTAGGAGCAGACAGAATATGGGCATCCATGCCGTACAAGAGGAAGGGCATGCAACAACCGACCACAAGCGCCTTTAACAATAAGAACGATCAGGCAACGATGTGGCTATAAGCGTCCAAAGTGGACATCACTCCATCTGTGATGTAATGTTTATCCTTAAAAAAAATGACCGAGTGTATCGACACCGAAAAAGGGTTTTTTTTCAAAGAAAACAATCACCTCAGTATTCGTTATGTCGTTTTGGTTTTAAGAATCGGTACTAAATGACAAATTGACATAATAGGAGCATTTTTGGAGCAATTCCAAATAAAACAACAATTTCTCGGTGGATTCCAATTAATGCATGAAATTTGATTTGTATTTATTTTTTTCTCACAAACCGTATTTTTCTTTCAAATATTATGTATGATTAACGTGCAACATTTTGCTATATTGATGTACTTCGTTATTAGAAAGGGATGTTAATATTCACTGTTACTTCTCAATCTTATAACGAATAGAGGAAAAAATGTGTGTTTGGAATGTCTCCTTTTAGATTTCCTTTTCGGACACGGAAATTCATTACTTGTGCCCTAAATGTGCCCCTGCCCCTTCTGCGGGAAAACTCCTGCCAGCATTATCATTTGTTCGCACAGAAAAAAACGTTTGTGTCTGCTTAAAAACGAAGCGCGAATGTGCACTTGTAGCGAGCGTTATCTTAGTGGGGCATGGACATATTTGTGTGCTGTCCAAAGTTATCGCGCGCCATTTGCCGTCCTTGTGTCCTGCTAAACCGCAGAAAGTTTGTCGAACCTGTTTTCTTGCTATTCCCAGACCCGTGACCACGTGCATGACTTAGATTGTAATATTGCATCAGAGGTTGAGTACCGCTTGGCAGGGATCCAAAAACCGAACGGAGACAGGGTCGT